TCCAGTAGCTGCTCAAGCTCACTCATGTAGTATGTAAGACAGAAAATTGAATCTCTTAGTGTTGTTTTGAGAATTAAATGACCTAAAATTATATATTAGAACCATACCTATGTAGCTAGAGTTTTCCTGCCTGGCCCACAGTCAGGACAAATCTCTCTCACCCGCCAGTCCCAAGCCGCTCAAACCCGATCAAGTAAACACAGAGACTTATATTGGTTACAAACTGTATGGCCGTGGCAGGCTTCTTGCTAACTGTTCTTACAGCTTAAATTAATCCATTTCTATTAATCTATACCTTGCCACGTGGCTTGTGGCTTACCGGTACTTTACATCTTCCTTGTCCTGATGGCGGCTGGCAGTCTCTCTCCTCCCAGCTTCCTGTTCTCTCAATTTTCCTCTCTGTTAGTCCCGCCTATACTTCCTGCCTGGCCACTGCCAATCAGTGATTTATTCATTGACCAATCAGCAACACATTTGACATACAGACCATCCCACAGCACCTCCCCTTTTCTTTTCTTAAAAAGGAAGGTTTTAACCTTTACACATCTCCAAAGTTAGCTTGGTATATTTGGGAATTTGGGCGTAGCTTCTCTTACTACTTCCTGCTGGAGGGGGGCGCTGTATCTTCTGGGGAAACAAAGAAGATTTTAGGATCATGGAGTAGTCCGTGAGGCTGTATCATCTGAGCCAGTTGCCTTGAAACGGTTCTGGATGTTGGATCATCTGGGCCATGGTGTCATCGGAGACCTTTCAGGTGGTCTTGGCTGGTCAAACCTGATGTATCTTACTCTGGAACAAATCCATAGCCTCTTGTTTTCTGTGGAAACAAAAGAGACTCTTTTCCAAAGCAACATATCCTTACATCCAAATTTTGAAGTTAAAGTATCTTTAAAATATACATACTGGTTTAACTCAGCTTCCTTTACAATCAAATATCTCTCTGTAGTTAAGAATCCCAAAGACAACACAATCCAGACTCTCTGTGTAATAGTCATCTCTACGTGGCTTATTTTTTATATTAATTTTACTGTCTCTTTAAAGACTTTATTTTTTAAAACCATGTATTTGTTTCTATACTGTATATATCACCTTTTTTTTTCTCTTTCAAGCCTACGTATATTTTACACACATTTTAAACTATTACATCTGAATCTGTCTTATTATGAATCTGTTGCTTTAAGCTGCAGCAGCTGTGGCTGCTGGCTCCGCCCACCTCAGCTTCCCAACATGGCGGCAGTATGCTTATCGCCAGCTCTGGGAGCTATCGTGGGTCTATGTTTTTATCCAAGCAGCGTGTAGCCCAGAAACCTCTTTTTTTGTTTTGTACTAGCAAAGGCTAAATCCACAATGCAGCTTAATGTGCCACTTGCAGAGGCCTCATTCCCGCCATATGGCGGCAGGTCAAGCGCGCACGCTAGGAACCCGCCAGTAGCTCAAACCTGCCGCTCATTTGAGAGAGACAATTAGGAAGCTATTTTTAGCTCCGTTTTAGAATCTTTTTTTTTTAGTTTTTAGGTGGAAACTCTTGCCCCACGTTGGGCGCCATTTGTAGCTAGAGTTTTCCTGCCTGGCCCACAGTCAGGACAAATCTCTCTCACCCGCCAGTCCCAAGCCGCTCAAACCCGATCAAGTAAACACAGAGACTTATATTGGTTACAAACTGTATGGCCGTGGCAGGCTTCTTGCTAACTGTTCTTACAGCTTAAATTAATCCATTTCTATTAATCTATACCTTGCCACGTGGCTTGTGGCTTACCGGTACTTTACATCTTCCTTGTCCTGATGGCGGCTGGCAGTCTCTCTCCTCCCAGCTTCCTGTTCTCTCAATTTTCCTCTCTGTTAGTCCCGCCTATACTTCCTGCCTGGCCACTGCCAATCAGTGATTTATTCATTGACCAATCAGCAACACATTTGACATACAGACCATCCCACAGCATACCTAACTCTATATTGGGAAAAGAATGTTTTCTTAAAGTATATTCAAATCCAAGGACAGGGCTTGCATGATCATGCCAGTCCTGGTGTATTGCACTGCCCAACGCAGAAAGAACAAAGTGGGTGAGCTCATCTTACATAGGAATATAGCTTCCCCACGGCAAAGAGAGGGGCAATGTGTTAAGTTTATAGTTAGAAGAATATATTTTCTTCTTTGGGATGGGTTTGGCTAGCACTGTCTCTGGTAAAAAGAAAAAACAACCCACTTTTCTCTGCACTAAGGCTAAGGGTTAAGTTCCACAAAACTGTCTCCAACTTCAGACGCCAAAAGCTAGTGCCAGATCTTCTAGTTACTTCCAACTTCTGACTTGGCTCCTAATTAGAGGTTCCCAAGATTCTCTACTTAGTTTTGGTAATTTTCAGGAGTGGTTCATAATTTATTCAGTATATCATCAGCTTATTCCAAAAGATACAACCCAGGAGCAGCCAGACAGAGGAAATGCAAAGGGCAAGGTGTAGGGTTGCTGTTGTAGAACTTCAGGCTGTCTCTGGATGCTCACTTGCTCAGAAGCTCTCTGACCCCAAACTTTTAGGGACTTTTACAAAGAAAGGGTGAAGATGGGTCTTGATGTCTAGAACTTTTCCCTTCCTGGGACACTGGAATAGGGTCTGAAAGTTTTAAGTTTGTAAACATGACTTGGCCTTTCTGGTGAAGAAAGCCAGGACTCAGAACATGTCTTGAAATATCACACTTTGGCATTCTGTGTACTTTAAGCTGAAGGAAACAGAAAGCCTCACAAGGGTCTCTCTCTGTCTCCCCCTTATCCCCTCTCTCCTCTCTTTCTCTCTGACTTTTCCTTGTTTGAAGACCCCCCAAATAACTGGTACCTGCTCCCAAAGGAAGAAATGCCAAAAGAAGCAAGACGAATACAAACAGGATTTGCCAACTGCCCCACCCCAGTGTATCACCTGAGATTATACCACATTGTTATTTAACCATAGTTCTATACAACTGTTTTGTTTACATAAAACTCAAGCATAAATATACAGTTTCCTTGTATTTTGGGCCCTTGATTCCTGAGTACTTGTAATGTCATGTCAAACTTACCTTAGCTAAGTTTGCTCTTCATTTTGCCCGTCTTTGTTACAGGGATGTTATTCACCATCTTTGTGGTGCATGAGGAAAATATACTACTTTCTCTCTTATATACCAGCTTCAGATGCCAGAAGTGTACTTCATCATAAAGTTCCCTGACATCGGGAGCTTGTCTAAACTAGGGATATAGATCAACTATTAGAAGAAAAGACACACTCAGCAACCTTAGCAGTCATATGGTTCACAAAATCACAATGCTTTTAAGTACACTGACAAGAATTGGAAGCAGAAACTATCTGCATATGTGTTTCTTGAGACAGTGACTCAAACACATGATCCTCCTGCCTCTGAATAGATTACAAGTGTACTAGGTATATGCCACTATTTCCTGGCAAGTGTGTGTGTGTGTGTGTGTGTGTGTATATATATATATATATATATATATATATATATATATATATATATATATATATATATAATGTGTGTGTGTTGTGCATGTGTACATATGTGTATGTACATATATTTTCCATTATATCACTAATAGCTACAAAGTTAAATATACCTACATCTTACAATGAAGGAGAGATTTTTGAAAAAAAAAAAAACACAGTTGGAATTCCAAAGTATACACTTGAATATGGTGTGCTTCCTATTGTGTGCCCAAGCCTGTTGTGGAAGGCTTTCTTTAAAGTCCTTGGTGGACTCATGACAGATCAAAGAGATCGGACTTGGGATTTACATCCTCAAAGCTGAAGCTTTAGACAAGAGCCACCCTCAGGCCACACTAGGCAGGTTCAGGACTCCTGTCAAGGCTTGTGTGGACTGAGGAAATTTGTTAAGTGCTGAATGAAAAATAAACTATTAAGATTAAAAAAAAAATCCTAATTAACTGCTCACACATGAACAGCCAGAATCTGTTTAAGCTTTATCATATAATTTCTATCAACGGAAGTCCTCAAGCTCAAGCACGTTCTTCCTCCACCCCACACTGCTGTCAATTTGATTTTATTCTGTTATTTTTTTACCATTTACTTTTCTTTTCTTTAAAGAGATGGTACTTTTGGTAGATTTAAAACATACCTTAACAACATTGGGAGCACCTTAATGGTGATGAATCATTCACCAGCTCCAAGGAAACTTAAGAGAATTGTCACTTCTCTCCAGTGTCAAAGCACACATGCCTCTGAACACTCTGAAGTCGTAGTCTCTCAGCTGGGCAAAGGGAACTTCCAATGCTGTCTTCATAGTCTCTCCTTCCTCTTCCTTTGCTGTCACTGCCCAACAGGCATCAAAGCGCTCATCATCATACATAAGCCACAGTATCCTTTACTGACATTTTGCTGTCTGCAAATAGTTTCCACCATGACTCTGCTACTTTTCTCCTCAATAACCAGAAAGATGAGCTGAATAAGTTTTCGATCATAGTCAATTTTTTTTTCTACACTCGTGGGGAATTAATTAATCCTCTTTATGGGATGTTTTTCCTAAAAAAAAATTCTCAGATCCCTGTATGCACAAAATGAGATTCCTTTTTGTTCCATTTTGCTTTTGTCTTCCCATACCTGCTAAGGTATCATATATGCCAGTCTGCTAACTGGGGACTCTGAGTTATTTTAGGTATGTATGTAAGAAATTCCAAGGTCAGCGGTTTCTTTCAGGAGGCTTTTGATATGCTAATGTGTCTTATGAATATGTAAAAGGGAGGTAGTCACTACCACTCACACTTCTTAGTTCCAGTGAACTGTTTCTAGGAGCAGCCAGCACTCAGAGCAGCACTGTAAATCAGAGCTGGCTCTGGGCAGTGGCATTGGGGAATTCCTCCTGCAGTTGAATGATCCATCTCTCACTCCTCTCAATTTCTTAAGACAGTATTGAAAACTTTAAATTCAGGTTCTTTGTGTCAGTGGTCATTTCCTTTTATGTTCCTGATAAGCATGGTTTTGGTACTAAAGGGAAATGGAAAAAAAAATAATTTTGCAATGAGATGGTATTTTATTTTAATTTTCACCATTTATATACAAACACAAGTTAATAAAACACATCACAAAACTGTAAAATTCATAACTGATATTTATAGGTGCATAGTTTCATGCTCACATATTTTAAAATATATATTAACAAATTTCACAATACATCATTCTTCGACAGAAAGAATCATTAAGGACACCTAAAACTCTTGTAAGTTAGCAAATCACAACTCCTCAAGAACAGCAACAACAAATAGTGAAGATTTAGAAATAAGTGGTAGTCACTTAGGTGTTTTAAATTTCTTCTAACGTTTTAGGTTTGAAGCCACAATATCCACAGCACACAGGACCCTGCTACCATGTATTCACTGTAGTGAGAGGGAAGCACCGGGATGCTGAGGGGCAGGTACAGGACGTCAATCACTGAGGATGGAAGACTTTGAAACACACTGTACAGCTTTGAGAAAAGGTCATGAATGGGCACGTTGGAACTGAGCACTTGTACGCCATGGAACAGTGGCCGGCAGATCTCAGGACACTGGGAGCAAAGGCATTCTTAGGCTTCAGGCTCATAGTCTTGGTATCCTTCCTAACATCAGGTAAGAAGCGGGGAGAGGGAGAGAGAGAGAGAGAATGACTTGTCAGTGAAAGTGACAGTTATCAAGTGTTTACTTCAAAGGAGAGAGAATCCAACCTTCCACTCAGATAAAATTGATCCTCAGAACAGTGTTTGGAATATTTCTGTCACAAACATTTATTTGTCTTTTCATACTGATCATGTATAAGTTATGGGAGTTGTCAGGGTTAGTTTATTAGGCCTAATTCCATATGTGCCATTTGATTTGTGATCTTGTCCTACAGTATGAATCAGCTGGGGCTCTGGATTTGTTTCCCTAGCTGTGAACTGTAAGCTGTGAGTACCAAGGTGAACTGCCTCGAACCTCTTTCAGACCCCTTGTTCCCAGAAGTGACAATGCTTAGAGACAAGGGGCACTTCCTCTGCTTTCTCTCTCCCATTAGGAAACTGTTGGAATTCCTGGCCATTCCCCCAGCTACATGGCTACACATGAGCGTTCAGTAGCCAAGTAAGGGGCCTTGCATCCTACATAGTAATTCTTGCGCTACGTGATCCCATAATTTGTGCCCAGTGTGATCATGCAATCTATGCACATGTGTAGCATAGCCCCATAACCCCATATGCACATGTGCAGAGGAATCCATAAGAACAGGACACAGACTCCTCCCCTCTTCCTCTTCTCCTCCTCCCTGCCTTCTCTCTCTGCATGTGTTGTCTTCCACAGGCCTGGTCCCACTCTCTTCTGTCCCTCTCTTCTCCTAATAAAGCTCTGATAGTGGGTTTTGTTGTGCCTTGTGGCCTTTCTTGCACTGTAACAGCACCACTTAATAAATAACATTTGCACTGCCGCTTTACAACCAACAAATTCCACCTTCATGGAAGGCTTTATTGGCTCCTTTTTCTTTATTCTAAAGCCCAAGCCTCCTGAACAAAATGTGGATAATGTTTGCAATGGTAATAGCCCTAGCTAACTGGATTAGGTAGCCTTCCTCAAGAATAACTCCAATTATATGGAGGTTTTGCTGTTAAACTAAACCTATCTTCAAAAGCTTTTTGTTTTGTTTTGTTTTATTTACTTTTGTATTGTTTTAAGTAGATATAAACTTAAATGACAAAGTTACCTTGATGCTCTACAGTTTGTCCATAACCTTAATTATGTTCTCAGTCTTAATCTGTCATTTTTCTGTTTTCTAAGCATGATTAATAACTGTGCACTGTTGCTCAGACACATCCATGTGCCTTTGTTTCTGGTTGTCTCTTGTGCTAGAATGTTCTCTTCTCATTTTGACCTATCTTATCTCCCACACAGATCAAAATCATTTCCTCTAAAATCTTTTCTTGGTTGAACTACCCAGACCATAATTCTGGAGAAATCTGATAGTTGTAAGGTTTTGGTGGTACCTGTTGGCATGATCCAAATTCAACACCTCAACCATTTTTCTTAGTTTTCTGTATATAGGTCATTTACCTCTGAAGGCATTTCATAAGCCTCACTCCCAGGATCCACAGGCATGTCTTCCAGAATTCCTTCTTGTGGGTACCCTTCTTCACCCTACAGTCAAAGAGGGAAGCGAAAAGTACAATGAGATATCATCTTAACTTTTGAAAGATAATTTGAAAAAAAAACTTACATGTGCTACATCTATGGGATACTGGAAGGACTGTTGTCAGAACTGCACAACAATCCTTTAGTACTGCCGATGTAATTCTAATGGTATCACACCTCTGGAAAAATACTGTGCAAACATGGGTTACCAATCTGAAGAGTACAATGTTTTTACCCAGGTAACTAGGAAGTTGCCAAACCTAGAGTCCATAAATTCTCTCCATAAAAGCAATGCAGTCATAACACAATGGTTTATAATCAATGGATGATGATGAATCAAATAATGGTAATGTATTAAAATTATTAGAACCTACCTATGGAGTAATATTTAGCAGGACATCATTTTTGTACAGAACCCATGTAGTATTTGATGGTAAAAAGTAAAAAAATCCAAAACAGTAAAACAAATATTGAAAGACAAATTATTTATTTTTCCCTAAATTTTATAAGGTAAAGTATATATGGTTTGTAATTCACTTAAAACTTATTTTTATTTTATGTGTATGGTTGTTTACCCTGTATGTATGTATGTCTGTGCACTATGTGCATGCCTGGTACCCATAGAGGCAAGAAGAAAGCATTATATTCCCTAGAACTGGAGTTATAGACAGTTGTGATCCTCCATATGGGTGCTAGGATTTGGGCCCTCTGGAATAAGAACCTGTGCTCTTAACAACTGAGCCATATCTCCAGCCCCAATAATTCATTTTTAAATGCTGGCAAAGAAATAAGTTCTCTTCTCAAATATGAAATTTGAAAATATACGTACTTGGAGTTAAAAAACCAAAGACAAGATTGAAACAATTTTTCAAGTTATCTCTCCATAAATGTAGACACCCTAACATTCAGCCCAACACAAGGCAGCTTATTTGTATTCTCCATCAAAAGTCTTCTGTTCCTTCCCATTTGTTCCAGCAAGACAATTATTAAATGACTGAGTTCAGTAAAATTTCAAAAATTAGAGATGCAGCCAGAGTCTAAATGGACTCATTGAACGTGTCAAAAGATACTCAGCTTATGTGGACAATATCCTTGGGTAAGTGCTAACTCCCACTGCTTTTACCATAGACACGATGGGCCAGTAGGCAGAGGAAAGAGATAATGGTCAACAGTGAGGCATGGTTTTGGTAGCTGGAGAGAACAGCTTATAGATCATCCTATCATGCTTTCTGGACATCACCAATCTCTGTTTACAAACCCAGAGAGACCAATTTGCTTACAAGTTAAATAAATTACAAACTATCCCACAAACACCTCACTTCAAAATGTGGAGTAAGATATTACTTTCACAGTATTTCATACAGTAGTATAAGAATCCAAGTTTTTGTTGTGTGGTGGTTCAGCACCAGGACCTGGTCATTAGACTCAGGTTACAATTCTATCCACACTAGATTATCAATCTTTTGTGACCCTGGACACATTTCCTATGCCACTCCTCAGCATCAATTAGCTTTAGTAATAAAAGAAAGTGGAGAGATCTTTTTATTTGTACACACCTGGAAGAAGCAAGTGATAACATTGACCTCTCCCACTGATGTATAAATGCGTCTTAGAGACAGTCAATATAAGGGAAATATGGCAAACCACCAGCTCTGTGCATTTTTAATGTAATCTGTGAGATTTATGTTCTGAACTGGATGAGACAAATGCAAGGCCAATCTTGGGGACTGATGACTCTCATAAAAGAAGTGATTCTGCATAAGTAGGTGAAGAGGAGACCACTGCATGTCGGTGTTCATGTCCATGAGGGGGTAACTGTTTTCACTTCAAAGTTCAGCCAAGCAACACTGGATGTTGCTTGTGGATTTCTTGTACTACAATCAATTAAAATCCATCCTTGTTTCTTTTAAATATATTATCAGCCAAATTGTAGATGAATAATGATTGGTTATATTTTTAAAATACAGAATATATTTTTCTGAGTATATTTTTTTCTTGTGCTAAAGACTGATGAAGCAAAATATACACTTATATTGAATTAAATTCAAAGTATAAAGATTGTACTCTCCTGGATCTCATTTAGGTAACACCATATTTCACAAATTCTTGAGGAATTATCTTTATCAAAGATTTTCTTTATCTTAAGACATTAAAAAATGTTTGGAGGCAAGGGTTTTAGAAATCATAAAGGAACCATAATTTCTATAATAAAAGTGAAATCACAGACATATGTCCATAAGTTTATCTGTGAACATGTTTCAAGAGAGCATTATATCTTTATGGTATGAATATATACCCCCAAAGAACAAAACAAAATGAAGTATTTGTTTAGGTAAAAAGCAATAATGTTTTAATAAAACACTCTGATGAGTCATCAGCATGTGTAAAACACCAGCCAAAAGGCAAAGATAGAGCAAGGTTTTGGGACAGATGAAGTGATCATGCAAAAGACAGGCTCACATCAGCCATTGTTCCTGCAGAGAAAGTTGTCAAAATCTTGTAACAAGGATATTTTTTTATTGTACCTCCTCTTTTTCAGGGAGATCTGTACTGTAATACCACCTGGCTCTTTATGCATAGCTTATATCCTTTCTAAACTTTTAATGAACAATATGCATGCTACCTGGCCCTTAATGTATATCTTGTGTCCTATCTGGCCCCTAATGTACAGACTGTATTTCATCTTGTCTTTAATGCACAGCTTGCCTCCCACCTGATCCCCCTTGCATGGTTTGTATCATATCTGGCCCTTCCTGCATAGCTTGAATCCTCTTAGCCCTTAATGCACAGTTTTCAACATGCCTGACTATTTGTATCAATATTCAAGAATCTATAACCATGCAAATTATTTAAGGCTGATATTTTACTAAATTAGTTTACTACCTTCATATTCTATAGCTATCAATTTTATAAAATATCAGCCTTAGATAATTTGCATGGTTATGGATTCTTATAAACTGATACAAATGTAAACTATTTTCATATTCCTATTTAAGATCATTTGTATATTGATACAAATACAGGACTATATTTGTTGTAATGTACATATATTTCTACTCCTATTTGAAATATTTTGTAAATTGACACAAATGTAAAATTATATTTGTACATATTTGTATAGATATTCATGCATATATCACAGTTTCTTGGCCCTTAATGTATAGCCTGTGTCCTAACTGTCTCCCCATGTATAGCTTCCATCCTACCTGGCTCCCATGTATAGCTTACATCTTACCTCCCCTTAGCTTGCACCAAAATCTTCAATGAAGTTTGCTACAGAGCATTCTGTGTAGGCTGGTTCTTGGTGGCAAAGTAACAATACAGAAATACAGAAAACATGGATTTATTCATGAAGTCAGAAGCAGGAAGTTAAGACCAGAACTGACCAATATTTCCAACTGATCTTGGAAATTACTGTCCACTGTGTGCAATCATTTGTAACCTACATGGTGTCATTTAGTATAAAAACCGAACAATATACTTGCTGCCAGTGTGAATACAATGAAATAAAAGATGTTCTCTACTTCAAAGTTTATGGAGGCTTATGAACAGTTGGGGCTTCTGAAAGACTGTACAACAATATATAGTGATATCTTCAATGGCAAAGGTTAACCAATTACCTGCTATCTATAGCTAGAACACTGAAAGTGGCAGATCAAGATTTTGCCCTGCTGCTCTTATGCTAAGATGGGTTTTGAATATAATCAGTGTTTTGTTATAATGTCAGGCAATGTTCATCAGGCCCTCTGAATAAAGAAAGCAACACATTTGCTCAACAGAGCAGATCACAAAGATGGAGAAAACAATAGCCATAAATACAAAGGAAGAAATTTAAAAGAAACAAATTTGACATAAGAGGGTAAAGGTTCTATTATATGTAATTTTACTGTGTTAAAGCTAAAACCTTCCTTTTTGATTAGATAGAAAAGGGGAAGTGCTATGGGACATCTTTCTCTATGTTGTGAATATGTGTTGCTTTGATTGGTTGATAAATAAAGTGGCATTGGCTTATGGCAAAATAGCTTAGAGGCAGGCAGAAATCCAATCAGACAGACAGGAAGAGAAAGGAGAGGCAGGGAGACACCAGCCTGTCGCCCAAGGAACAACATGCCAGCGGACTGGTAAGCCACAGAACACATGGCAAAACATAGAATAATAGAAATAGGTTAATTTACGTTATAAGAGCTAGCTAGCAAAAAGCCTCCTATAGGTCATGCAATTGGTAATTAACATAAGCCTCTGAGTAATTATTTTATAAGCGGCTGTGGGACCGTGAGCCAGATGAGACCGGAGAAATCTTTCAACTACATTGGCTAATAAGCACATATATTAGTGTGTTAAGTGTTTCTAATATAAAATACAACCCAGGACTCTGTTTTAGATGAAAATAGCACAGATTTCTTTAAAATGTACATTGCTGAACATAATTTCTCCCCAAAGCCATGGGTTATTAAATCAAACATCAAATGCCAGAGGTAGGATATTTTCTTATGACTTATTGATCACAAAGATCTCACAAAACACCCAACAATAGCAGCTCTTGTCATTCTTCTTTTTTGTCTGCCAGAAGTAGATAAGCCTCTATTGTTAAACACACTAACCATCTTGGATGCAGGACTGAGAGAAGTCAGTCTGGATCTGAGCTGGAAGCTTCCTCCCTATGGCCTAGCTTTCACAGTCTTAGAAGTTGCTATGCAAGATACTGGAAGTAAAAAGACATCAGTGTTCTTATCTCATTCCATGATCTATGAGGCCAACTTTCCAGGCACAATATACAGTAGTGGTACTACTGTTCGGGAGGTAACCCATTGCTCTCTCAGTGAATTAGAGTCCTACTTCCAATGAAGGAATCAAAGTCTAGTATTATAAACATGACAAAAACTGAAATCCTAGTAGGAGATATCATAGGTCCTTGGGGAGTACTGAATAGGGTTATTTAGCAAATTGACCTAGTATTAAGCTGCCTCTAAATATTTGTTTATGCTCTTAAACAAATGATACTTTGA